ATTAATCTCTTCCCAAATCGTCCCTCCCTAATATTTTCGTCTCGTTTTTATTCGTTGACGAAAATGTCAATAGTCATAGTTTTTGTCATCCAAAATGAGTTTTAGTTCGTTATCGTCTCGTCATCGGTGAAAAAAAATGTCCTTGACGAAAATTATGACGAAAATTATTCATCAACGAAATTAATAGACTTTGGTTTGAAGACTGAGATGTGACGAGGAACTCACAGGACGGATATTGAAAATAATATAAGTCTCCAAGCGCAGAGCTTCTAGTGTTTCACAATCTCGTGCCAAATCAAAGCTCCTCATACATCTGCTAGTCTGGCCCTTCAGAAAAACTGTAAAACAACAGGGTAATCTATGTTGAGCATATTAGAACATCTAGTCAGGTGCAAGTGACTCAACACCAACAGGAAAACACAAAAATGATAACCACTAATCCTACATATCACACTGCTATATGAATGTTGCCTCAAACCATGAAGCTTGTTGTTGCTATTAAAATACTGTTTGGATATGCAGCATTAACATTTTCTTCAGAATAAGTCGTTGTTCTGTCCTACCTGCAGGGTTTGCGTCTGAGCAGTGAGCTCTTCCTGCGGAGGCAGGAAAGGTGAAGAACTCCTGCTCTCCAGCCTCATTCACTGTTTGAATGACATCTCCATACGGAGGACAGGACAGAGACAGAAACGCTGCTTAACCTTACTGGCTTACTGTATCATATTTTGACCTCTAAATTATCAACTTGATCAAAGGTTTACCTGATTATCCATACATAATTTCAATCATGTTCAAATGTGAGTATCAAATATGATCCATTAGGAAACTTGAGGAATGTTTATTTGTTCGTCTCTCAATCATCATTGTATTGCATTGCATTATATGTTTTGCCCCACAATAAAAACTACAGAGCTTTGATCATAAAACTAAGCATTTAAATATTATATTACTAAGACCTATTATTGGTTGATATTGATTGATATATAGCTCCAGCTCATAATTTACTGTGCTGTTATAAAGATCTCATTGATTTACAAGCTATCAGAATTTCATCTCACTTTTTCGCCATATAAACATCAGCAACTGCAAGAAATTGCATAGTTTTGCTCATTTTTAGGCCTCTGAATAAAACTAGGCTGTTTTTTCTCCTCAAGTTTGAGCTCCATATTCTCATTATGAGCCATAAAAGCCGGATGTTATCAAATATGATACTTAAAAAAACATATACAAACTTATTTTTTAATTATTTAACTGTTCCATTTTTTTTTTTTTTTTAATGTTTTTTTTGGACGCAGTAATTTTTCATTAACTATCAAATATTCAAAAACTTTACCTGGTATCCAGATGAATTTCCCACATCAGGACTTTGAAGTGCACTGGTCACACTCAAACGGCCAAAGAAGAAAACCAAAAATCGGCCAAAAAGGGAGTCAAAATTCTCCTCAGTGGGAACTAAATGACAAGCCTTCTTCATCTAAAAAGGTACCATGGATGAAATTTAAACTGATATTGGTTAGCAGGGTCCACAGCTTAGATATTTGATCATGAATGACAATATGTGTATAAATATATCGTAATTCCACTTTAACTCTAAAGATTTCGTACAGCTCAAATGCCTTAAAAGATTCCCGTACAGTTAGCAGACTGAATACAGAAGACATCAGGGTTGACGTCTCGCTGGCCAGCGGACTGGACACTAGATAAACCCTCTTGTGTGGAGCTCAGGGAATACACCGCTGATTCCTGGCTGCACAGTCTGGGGTCATTACTGTAAGGAGAATAAAACATAGTAACACATCAGGATTTCAGTTGAATCACTGTCAGTTACCAAATACAAAATCAAGCCAGAGAGTGTGCAAGCTAAATGTCCCATCATAATTATTTTATTACAATATCACAAATATTTAGTTACAATTGATCCTCAAATTATCAGATAATGCAACATTTGAACACTGAGACTCAAACTATGTTTTCAATTCATATTTAAATACCAGAATTTTTTTTTTTTTAAAATTTACACTTATAGATATGCTACTTGGTATATATGAGAGTAAATAACAGGTAAATACATACACATTTTCTTTTATTTATTTAATCACATTTCTAAAAGTAAAATCAAAATTGTGGTTCCTATAACGCTGAATAAATTCAATAACGTCAGAACTCATTTGAACTGTGCAAACTCCAAGTACAAAAAAGTACTAAATGTAAACTAAACAATGTAGAGCAAATAATGTTAATATCATCTTTAAGTTTTTTTTTTATAGAACATATATCAGGAATAAATTCCATGGCTATAGTTCATATTAAATAAATAGTTCAACCAAAATTATAATTGCAGAACATTCAGCCTAACATTGCCTTTTGTTTTCCACTGATGAAATAAAATAATACAAATTACAATGAATTATCACAGAATTTTAAGTGAAATCTTCATTTAATTGATACTTCTTTTATCTTATTAGTTATGAGATATTTATATGGTATGGGTTAAACCTTCTTCCAGAGGATATCATCTACTATCCCAGTTTCTTCTTGAAACAAAGCTGACCTGACTCTTTCTGCTGTGCAGTCAGTGAACAGGGCCAAGCTCATCAGTGCAGTCTGGATCACAGCAGCAGTTTATGTCACACTGCCCGTTTTGCAGTTTGCAAAGACACAGCTGAGAGACTGAGCAGGGAAAGAGGAAACCACTTTGTTGGTCGAATCATTAAGGCATGACATACAGATGACTGTCTGCATTCTCACCTTCGGTAACCGGGGCGGGAAGGACACCGGAGAGCGGCAGAGGTTGCGCTGCTGTGGCGGCTCGCGGGGATTCGGGGCTCGTGTTGGGGATGGAGCTCTCGGAGGACTCAGTCTGACCGGGGAACGCCGTCACGGATTCGGGAGTCCAGGCTGTTGGAGCTGGGAAATAATCCGGAGATTCACTGACTCCCAGATCGGTGAAATTAAGCGGTTCGCCTCGATCAGCAGACGTGTCGTTTGTGTCTCTGAGTGTGATGCATCATATGACCCCTTTAAGGTTTCCTGTAGCGTTCGTGTCTTCAATGCAAAGCGCTCTTTCTAAATATGTCAAAATAATAAGACAACACAACACCGCCATGCTTGGAAACAGCGCGTTGTCATCATTGGTATCCAAGAAGTGAAATGCATTGTGGGATTGCGAGTGAAGGCTGCAGAAGTTTTATTTTGGATTTATTTTTGTTTTTACAACCACATCAGATCTTTTGAATTAATGCCATACAAGAAGATATATATATAATGAATACTTATTCAGTAAGGACACATTAAATTGAACAAAAGAGTTCAAAGAATCCTTAAAAAACTTATCACTGTTTCCAGAAAAATTTTAAGATATTAAGTAACAAAAACAGTTTTTAATATTGATAATATCAAATACATTATTAATAATTGAGCACCAATACTGTTTCATAATAACTGAACACCAAATCAACATATTAGAATATTTTCTGAAGGATATAAAATTTTATACAAAATTTTTTATATAAAATATGAAAATATATTAAAATGCAAATTAAATTGTAATTAAAAAATAAGTATAATTTAACAGTTATTTTTAATTGTAATGATGTTTCACAATATTTCTGCTTTTACTATATTTATAATTAAACAAAATACAGCCTTGATGAGCATTAATATATATCCTCCTGACTACCAGCTATGGAGTTTTGTCCTCTGTAGAGGACATTATGTTTTAGTGATTTCTCTGAGATGTTACATGTCACAATCTGGATGTCCTGTACAGAGCACATTCAGGGCTTTTCAGAGATACCAAATGATTGGGTGTTTCACCATGACCACTCCCTCTTCTTGGTCTTTAAAAATGACTGACATTCATTTAGTGATCAAGTGTAACACCCTTATGGAAATATGATAATATTTTGTAATTATCATTTAAATCTGACTAATTTTCAAATTGTTTGTCATAAATCAACATCTCAGGAAAATGTTATGGGGTTTCAAATCAAAATATGACCTTCTGTTATGAAACAAGACGTCGATTTCATACATGTCCTCATATGAGGACACCGGGACTAAAAGCATTTTCATTACACATTTTGGGAGACACAACAAATGAATAGGGAAAAAAGTATGTATCAATATTCCTATTAAATATTAGATATTATTATGAAAATCTTGCTAATTATTACTCCCATTATTGCACTTATTTGTTCATTCTATGTTGCCCCAAAAACACATTAATATGCAAATTAGATACAGTTTATAGATACATTGTATATAATGGAAAAACTTGTTTATGGCCATTTTACACACATTTTGCATAAAGAAAAATGGTTTTTAAAAATATCTTTCATAACATAGTTGAGAATCGTCTTTATATAAAGTTTGGTATAAAAAATGAAAATTGATTTGTGATTAAAACAAAAATCCCACTGTTTTTGCCTTTTCATGTCTATTCATGTCTTTTTATTTCTTAAAAAACAGGACTTTTTAAAGTCCCGATGTCTTCTACAGAGGACATGGCATAACATGTGAATAAAATATCGTTTTTCAAAAATTTTATTTTTCAAATTTTTTCTTATGCTCTAAACAATGTAATGACATGACAAAATACTAAATTCACAAAACGGGTTTTTCCTGGTAGTCAGGAGGATATATATATATATATTCTCACAATTTTGTAGACTACAGTATAAGTGCCTTTTCACCTTTTCAATTGTGTAAAACATTTCACACAACTTTTTATTTGATATTATTTTAATATTTTAACTTCTTTAATTTTATATAATTTTTAAAGTGAGGACATTTTGTTTTGGACTTTTTCAGTGTGAAAGTTTCTCATTAAAATCAACTGTAAAACAACGTTTCGACTTAAATACTCCACATCAGTACTACAGAATAGTTTAGTGTTATATGCAATGGAAAAATAAACGAAGATGGTTTCCTTGTCACCTCCACAGAAGTCAGAAGAGCGATCAATATTTTTGTTTAAAAAGCGCTCCAGCACGTGTTCTTCCACTACGTCCTTGGGTTTCCACTAGGCTCTACGTCACCGCAGCCGGTCATGTGACCTCAGGGCCCGTATGTGCTTGTCTCCGGAACACGGGCGATAGTGAGCAAGTACGCGAGAGGATGTCGGATAGGATGGAGTGTGCTGGAGGAACTTTGTCTGTTAAGTCCGCCAAGACATAAAACAGCCATACACCTCACGCGTCCGGCATTCACCGAAGAAGATAGGAGCCTTGCATCACTTTTAAAGCGGCCTGCTTCGGCTCGTGTGGTTGATCTGCGGTGCGCGGAGCCGGATGTCGGCGCACAGAGGCGGACCCTAGAGAGACGGGAGACGGGCTAGGCAGCTACACGCTTACCGTATACCGTCGGGGATGTTATCGGTACTCTCCTATGGCAGGATCGTTGCCAGGGCTGTCCTGGGCGGACTCTCGCAGACGGACGGCAGAGATTACAGCCTGATCACGGCCAGCTGCGGCTTCGGGAAGGACTTTCGGAAGGGGATCCTGAAAAAAGGCATGTGCTACGGCGACGATGCCTGCTTCATTGCCCGGCACAAGTCCGCGGATGTCTTGGGTGAGTGCCACCAAAATTCAGTGTGTTATATATCACCTGCACATGTTGTTATGGCACGAATATGCACGGTGAGCAGCTTGTCAGGGACTTTTAACTATGAAAGTGACCTTCACAGCGCTCATTTCGTGATGGACGGGTGTGCGGGACTTTGAGTCCAGCCCTCACCTGAAATAACCTCCCTCTTTGTGAATCTCTGGGATATACTTGATCCCACCTGTAGATTTAACACGCGTTCCTTAAATATGGAGCAACCGATTATAAATATTATACATCACATAACACATAAAAAATATGCATTTAATGCTAAATGAGTTTGGGTAATCCAGGGTGACCTTTCACCCAGAAAGACGCCAGACTGAACCCCCAAAGCGCGACTAGCGGCGGAAACTAGAATGGTTTCCCCGTGAAACCTTTCCATCATGGAAACACGGATATAAATGACATGTTGTTAAAGTCAGGCGTGCTTAACATTAATAGATTTATCCGATCGCGTGTGCTTAGACTCTATAAATGTAATTTACGCTGCGAATGTTTAAGTAATTCGACCTGTTTAAAGAATGCAATGGGCAACATGCATAAAACATGTATACATGAACTCGATTATATTATGTAGGAGTCGTAAGGGCTCGCTTGTAAGTGTTGCAGGAGCTCTTGTAAAGGTCATAATGGTTGAGCATGGAGGCGGCCATGTTTACTCACATCCACGTTCCTGTGACACACACAGGAGGCTTTGACCACAGAAACATTCTCTGTCATATTTACAACCTATAATAATAATCCTCGTATAATAGTACCGGATAGTTTTCGCTGGAAGAGCTCCGAATAATGTGCAATGTTCTCAAGTTAACAAGATACAGGGAAACAAAGGATTCCCTGTTACATTCACGTGCTACAATTAATGTTGGGCTTTTGTTCCAGACTCAGCAGCACGTGAGTAGCAGACCAGCTGTTCAGCACCAAAGTTAAACTATGGCTCTGCATAACCTGCGTCAAAATACCAGTTACTGCACTTATTGACTCATGTTAAACCAGCCTTTTGCATTTTCTAATGTGGTGCTTGTGCAATACTTGTTCACTATTCTTGGGCATTGCTGTGTGTGGCTGTTAAGTGGATATACAGTGCAGTAGTCAGGTTCCAGAAGTAAAAATCCCATTAAAGTTTCTTAACCGGGATTTCATTTTTAAAGCATTAACAGACAAGACCTGCTGTGAGCTGCAAGATTGTTAAACAATGGTAAACGCTTTTGTTGAAGCCATCAGCCCATTTATTTTTAACTTATTTTGCAAATAATCATGTTTAACAGCTAAAAAACTACATTACCCATGATTCTGCTGCGAAATCTACACCAATCAGAGAATCACAACAAAATGAAGCACTGCAAATGACTTAAAGGGGTCATATGACGTTGCTAAAAAGAACATTATTTTGTGTATTTGGTGTAATGCAATGTGTTTATGCGGTTTAAGGTTAAAAAACACATTATTTTCCACATACTGTACATTATTGTTTCTCCTCTATGCTCCGCCTTTCTGAAACCCCTTGATTTTTACAAAGCTCATCGGTCTGAAAAAGCGAGGTGTGCTGTGATTGGCCAGCTATCCAGAGCGTTGTGATTGGCCGAATACCTCAAGCGTGTGACGGAAATGTTAC